GCCGAAGTATTCATCCGTTACAATGTTAATGATTGAATAGTATGAACATTTTTGAAACGGTGGTGTGTGCAGTCATCACCAATATTAATTCTCACTTTCTGTTATCTAGTCTTCACCTTTGGTCATTTGCGAGTCTACGTGTCTACGGATGCCACTATGATCCATTTACAACAAGAATATTAATTTATTTATTTATTTATATATACAAGAGTTCTTACATTCTTGTACAGTCACTAGCACACATAGAGTTTCGGGAATATGAACCAGTGTTTCGGAGTATGAGTGATTATTTAGTGTGAGTGATTGTTTAGTGTGAGTGGTTGTTTAGTGCGATTGTTGTGCGAGTCATAGTTAGTGTGTGTCATTGTTCAGTGTGAGTGATTATTTAGTATGAGTGATTGTTAGGTATTGTTTACAAGCTGTTATCTTATGCAGTGATAGTTAATTTTATCATTCCATAATTCCCGTTGTAGGGGACAGAAAGCGTTGAAGAAGCTTCATGACAGCAAGCTTAGCGAGGTGCCTCCTACGCCAACTACTGGCCTTCCTCAGGTTGCAGCCCACAACAGTTGCCTAACTCCCAACTGGTAGGGAAACAGAGGCATCAGGCTAAAGGAAACGCGCTATAAAGATTTTGTCGTGCCTAGGGATCAGGGTTCCCTAGGCACGAGAGGCTCCCAGACGCTGCCTTAATCGACTGAGCTACGACTTGGTAAAAGAATTGCAACCGGAAGTTCTACTGACCTTACTCGGATCCTGCAGCCTCTCCGAGACACAAACCAGGATTTTGCACTATTCCCCCCATGCTCCCGAGCTCTATCAATAAGCTGTTCTACCTCTTCGCCCTTACTTCCTTACACACAGAAATCACAATAGCATGATTTAGGGCCCAATAGTGGTGGCCTTAAGCCCACCACTACCACCATATACAAGAGTTAATTAAGAGACTTGTATGTAACGACAATATTTTCTTCTCTATATCATTCAGATATAGAGAAGAAATGTATGTACCGTATACATTTATGATGTTACCTGCAAGTGAAACTCGTAGGAAGAGTACCAGCAGCAAGCCACTGGCTTCCTCTTCCCGAAGGGCCGCTGGACATGGTTTCTCATTATACATTCATCGGGAAGATAAAAGTTATATGGAAACTGCACCTTACATAAAAAAAATCATGGCCGGGAACAGAAAGCCTAATATCGTGGTCTTGGTAGGCCGAAGTTTGACCTCCAAAATACAATCATCAATAGTTGCTTAATGCCCGGATGCCTGTTTCCTACTTAGTGAAGAGAAGTATGAGGCGAAAAGTCCCCTTAGTCCAACTACTCATGGATCCCTGGTTGTTACACGATTTGGCGGGTCGTATTCCCGGGAAAATTAGGATTAAGGACCTGCCCGAAACGCTATGCGTGCTGGTGGCTGTACAAGAATGTGAGAACTCTTGTATATATAAATAAATACATTTCAAAAATGCAACCAATAACAGTGCCTAACTTCCAGATACCTATTTACTGCTAGGTGAATAGCTGCATAAGGCGTAAGGAAACGCTGCCCAACAGTCTCGTCCTCCAATTTGATATATTGAAATTGAAATTGAAGTTGAAATAAGTTTATTGAGGTAAAATACACACAAAGGGATGAGGTAGCTCAAGCTATTCTCACCCCGTTCAGTACATCGTGTTAATACATACATATAAACACTTCACTACAATAAACATATTACCAAACATTCTGAGAGATAAACATCTACATTTCCTCCTTTACACAAGTAGTATGGTACCAGACGTACACAAATACTTTTATGACCATTTGATATATGGTGTTGGATTGTAGGCCTATTAACCACGGGAAAGTTATTCACACCACCACAATAGCTTATTGATCAACCAGTATTTGTATCCCTAAACATAGTCCATGACTAAAGTAAACTCGGTGGGTATACACCGGGACGCCGGTACACTTCTCAGTGTACATCCTATCGCAAGTTTCACCTTCCATGTGACAGTCTTATTTGTGGCCGTTGAACCCCAGCCGCCCAACCAACACGAATTCAATTTAGTATTTAAATATATTCACTGCGGCACACAGGATATAGTTGTCCATTAAAGTTTGTAGTTGGCTAAGATAAATAATTACCTTGCTCGTCTAACTTAAACTTTCTTCTACTTACATAGAAACAAAAGAAATAATTTTGAGACATAATTACAGCTGAATTTAAATGAGTCAATAGTAAAGCAGTAATGGAACCATTACATATAATTATATGCAATTATAAGTAATTTTAGATCACGTTGTGGAAAACGCGTTGCACTAGTGAACTTACTATAATTGTAATAAGATTAAATATCATTACATAAATAGGGAATAAAATCCGGTTGTTGGTAACCAGCGAAGCCTAATTAATCTCCATCATCACCTTATTTAAAAAAGTTTGTTCTTGCCAAAAACAGGTTCCGGAGAAGATAAATGGGAGCTAAGGATGGAGATTAGTTAGCGGACATTAATTCAGGAGACGAATTACGTTTGGCAGGAGGACCGTAGACCATTGTTAAGTCTATATAGGCATCCCAGACGAGGAGTGACTGGACACGGTGCGCCAGGTGGTGCAGTTTGTTAGTGTACTGAATTGTGTACCATTGTATCTGTAAGGCGAGAGCGTGCTAGCTCTCTGACAACTGGGAGGCTATAAGAGAGAGAGAGAGAGGAAAGTGATTACCAAAAGAAGAGAGAGAGAGAGAAGGTGCAGAATGTGTACCCAAAAACCACAAACTTATTTTTGCAATCTTGTTAGCTTTAGCGCAGACTAAGGTTTCCACAAGCGTCATTGGTAACCATGGAAGGAGGTCACGCGAGTGCAGGGCATGGCGATGTAGGCTGTGAGGTGTGGTAGTGCAGGTCATAGTGGCGCAGGCCACGGTGATGCAGGAGATGGTGGTTCAAGGCATAGAGGTGCAGGTCATGGTGGTTCAAGGCATGGAGGAGCAGGTAATAGTGGTGCAGGCCACGGTAGTGCAGGTCATGGTGGTTCAAGGCATGGAGGTGCAGGTAATAGTGGTGCAGGCCACGGTGGTGCAGGTCATAGTGATTCAAGGCATGGGGGTACAGGTAATAGTGGTGCAGGCCACAGTGGTGGAGGTTATGGTGGTTTAAGGCAAGGAGGTGCAGGTCGTAATGGTGCAGACTACGGTAAAGCGAGACATATTTGTGCAGAGCATTTTTCTTTGTCAACCGTGCAATACAAATACAAAAGTTTAACACATCGATTATTAAAAACAGCGGCATAAAATAGTCTGCGAATTAATACTTCACAAAATGAGAAGCCCACCCATGTACCCGTTAATAGCTCGCGATGTGAGACACTTAAATCAATAATTTTAGCGTCCCACAAGTACCAGTTATTGAAACATTCTTTTCCTCGTGCCAATAAATGATATTTAAAATCTCGATAGTGATAAGACTGTACCGTTTTCTGATTACAGCGCTATATATATATATATCCCATATAAGTATTAAGAAATCCTGAACAACACATTGCATACGCCATCAGAGACACTTGATGTGTGACCAATAGGCTTTCTCATAATAAAACTTACTGAATGATTCTATATAGACGCCGGAGCAATTTTTCCGTGGAGCAATTGACACTTGATTTGGTGTTGGGCTTAAATTATTATTGTCTCTTAACCTCTAGAGAGTTATTAAACCCACCACAATAGCTTACTGAGTAACCTAACTTAACCAATGCCTAAATATGCACAGCATACTAATATATATATATAACAATAATTCTTTTTTATATTTGAGAAAATTCCTATTTTCAATAAACTGCATGTTAAAATTGATGAATGCGTCTTTGGGGTCGACCGCTGGATGGAATGCACTTTGTCTGAGGACGGGCTGTGTGTGAACCGTTTTTTCCATTCTTAAACTGATTAATCCAACGGACTTGTCTGTTGGATTAATGGGCATTTGACCTTTGTTTGTGAGAACGGTCTGGCATGGGCGAAGCATTGACAGAAGTGAGATTAGAGGAAATGAGTAGAGCACTGCTCGTATAAGGTTCGAACGTTACCGGCTGTGAAATAAGTGTAAGGTTATTTATTATTGTTTTATATTCAATTACAACAAAAAGCTGCAAGTAATACAGACAATGATGAGCTCATATTAGCCTTTTAAATACATGTTTTTAATTTATTTACAGTAGGCAGCTGAATACATAAAATTATTTTTATAATTATTATGTAATATAGATAAAAGTTTTGCTAATTATTTTTAAATTAGATAAAATTAAACTTATTTTATAAAATAAATTTCTTGTTATAAAAAAACGGTACGCAAAGTCCATTACTGATGTGCAGCATCAATTGCGAGAGCTCTCATCTGCTTGCCTGGGCAGGCAGTGGCCGAGCTAGAGATTTGGCTGCACCCTTACCTCACTACTAATTTTAATAGGCCCACGTCATCCTGCAATCAGATCGTTCCACTTGGGGGGCTGACTAAACCAATTTACACAGTGATGTGGCACATGGCTTGCTTAAACTCTCCTAAAAGATCACCAACAGAAAATTAGTTGAGATGAAAAGAGGCACGCTCTCTCTCTCTCTCTCTCTCTCTCTCTCTCTCTCTCTCTCTCTCTCTCTCTCTCTCTCTCTCTCTCTCTCTCTCTCTCTCTCTCTCTCTCTCTCTCTCTCTCTCTCTCTCTCTCTCTCTCTCTCTCGTACTCTGGTAAGATAAGATAAAATTCTTAGCAAGATTTTATTTGAGAGTACATTTATTTACATATTACACATTATAAAATATAATCGCTAGAATATAAATATTAATTAAAGTTGTTCATATCAATAATAAAAAAGCATATGTACAGCAAACCCATTAAGCTTCTGGAATATATGGAGCCTTTTAGGGCCACTAAAACACATTGAAGTGGATGGTGTAGTTAAGAGACTATCAGGCCAGTTGTACATTTGTGACGGGGTTTGAGGAAGTGGCTGGGGAAGATTTAGAGCCGGTTGGGTCTGTTGTAGAACTGTGAGGGTGTCGGGGGAGGTGATGGGGAAGCTTGACGCTGCTCTGGGACGCTGTACAGCTGGTTGAGCGTCCCAGCGTCACTGCGGATGGAAGCATCTGCGTCCTCGGGGATCTTGCCGATCTCGGAGTTGAGAGCGAAGAACTGCTCGGAGGCGGCGCAGTCGACGTTGAACCACCAGTCACACACGAAGTACTGCTGGTTGAAGACGGTGCCGTTGGGACACAGGAAGGAGTCGAGGCGGCCGTCGAACTGGCAGATGTGGAAGACCTGGCAGCGGGCCTCGTCAGCGGTGTCGGCGAAGTAACCAGGGAACTCCCGAGACTGGCAGGAGAAACCGGTTTGTGGCACAGAGGCCAGGATCGGGTAGTGTTGGCCAGGGACGCCGCCCCCGGGAATATTGACGGCCAGGGCGGTTACGGGGTCTTCGATTTCTTGACTGGAAACAGATGACCTCAATCCCGGAGGGTTATAGGAGTAGCTAGGAGAAGCGCTCGGCAAGTATCCAAGCTGAGCCTTTGATGTTCTCATCAGGGCTGAGGGAGAATGTGAACAGAAAAAAAACTTGAGCTACAAGAAAGTAATTAATGACTTGGAGTAATGAAACACGAATCTCATAATACATTAGAGTAAAGATCATAATGCTTTAAAATAGCTTGCTTTATATATATATATATATATATATATATATATATATATATATATATATATATATATATATATATATATATATATATATATATATATATATATATATATATATAACAAGAGACTCCTTTCCACTGCACTAACCTAGGAAGAGTAGCACTAGAGATTTATCCATTGTGTGAAGAGAGAGAGAGTCTGAGAGGAGGACCTGTGAAAATGTCGAGGAGTGTGTTGCTGGAGGAAGCTGGTACTGCCTTATATCCCCCACGGAACCTTTCTCCAGGCGAGTCAAGGCTGATCTAGAAAAGACTGATCAAGATGACCCAAAGGATAGTGTTCACGGTCAAGCTGTTTCACAATTCTTTGTGTGCGCTTCTGCCATACCTGGCAAGCTAAACAGTGCGAGGTTGCCCGCTCACATAGAGCAGTGTTGCGTAATATAGTTTTTCCTTCTTGTCTTCGCTCTAAGAAACACGAAGAGTCTTCGCAATGAATTCTTCAAGCGAAGCTTCATGACTACCTGTCTCAACGTCAGTAATATTTAACGGCAGGAGGGAGATATACACTGAGAGGTTTATATCCCATTTCTCAGTGTACCGACACTGAGAGTTTACTTTAGTCCCGGCCTATATAGTCGTACTGACTTAGCGCTTTCTGTAATAAACTTTTTTAGTCAGGAATAATGTTATATACAGGTTCTAATACTGTATTAGGAATATCTTTTGATATACAACAAAAAAGGGAGAATCGAGAATTAGTTTAATGAGTATTTATTTAGGCTCACTGACGCGACATTAGGTTGCCATAGCGCCGGGTTTGGTTACACAAGATGACCCACTAGAGATACTCAGATCAGTCGCCCAACTCCAGCGTTCAAGAGAGCTCGGCATCTCACCCATTGAGAATAGGTTGAGGACGTTTTGTCTCCAAGACCTCTAAGCAGTCATTAAATCACAAAGCTTTTATAAAGTTCCTATAATATACGACATATTTTAATTTTTTTTAAATTATTGCAAATAATTTATCTTGCACTTAGCATGAATCTCCAACTATCCAACAATGTCTCAAAATAAATATGTTCGATAACATCTCAAAATATAGGATCAAATATCAAGAACATCAAATGAAAAAAAAAATATATATATATTTTTAACAAAAATTTTGCTGAAAGTCCTCAGTCATTCCGGACGCAACTGTTAAGTCTCCCATCAAAGGCACTCAGGAAGTGAACATTTGCTGAGCTTATTTGTGCGGAGCAAACTTTACAGTGAAAAGACGACCACTTAAAACGTGATAGAGTTGAGAGAAATGTTTCACATTGCGGACCTTTAATAAACACGCCCACCTTGGACCGTAATTATGTTGAAAAATGTTCACGTAAGTCTCACAGCGAATCATCAGTAATGGTGCTCTTATGATGATTAAGTCGTTCTCTCACAATCAAAACGAACTTAACATTAAGCCGCTCATACATAGGGTTATCAAACTTTTTGCTTTCTTACTAAATTTAGTACAATTCTTGCTATTAGATATTTTTGGTACTAAGTGTTGATAATTAGGTACTTTTGTAATTTTGTTAGTTTGACAAAAATCAAGATGTTATATTAATTAAAAAATATTCGAATTCAACGACAATAATCGAGATTTTGTTAATTTTCAGAAATTTCATTCATGTTTTATTGTAGAAGTGCCAGTGATACTTGATCAGTGACTGATAACTTAATCACCAGTGTTCACGTCCTGTTCTCGACGAAAACCATAGGTAAGGTGTTATTGTGGCGTTAATTTGAACACGGGTGAGGCCGATTATGTGCCTCTGTAACCCTTTACACCACCGCCCACGGGATGGGTATAATACAGAGAGAAAAAGGGTGAGGCCGTCACGCCCCTGCGCTGTGATCCGTCACGGGCGAGAACACCGGCCGTGACGCGGTGCTTGTATATTGTGACGTCTTTGTTCTTCTTTCTTTCTGTAATATGCACCCCATACCCATCCCGTTAACGGTGGTGGAAAGGGTTACAGAGGCACATAATCGGTTCAAGAACTGAACCCCAGAGTTCATTTAGCTAAGCAAGTGACAATCTTTTGAAGCTAGTTACAAAATTTTTAATATTACATATACATGTGTGTATATATATATATATATATATATATATATATATATATATATATATATATATATATATATATATATATATATATATATATATATATATAATGAAGGTGAAAACATGGGGGGATACATAAGGGATAAACATAGGGGCTGCAGAAGGCTTATTGGCCCATACGAGGCATCTCCTATCTAAACACAAATATTAATCCAGTGAAATTGGCCTGTTATGTTGGACATTGTTTTCTGTGTTGGCATCGATATGTTCTTGTCTTGTCCTTACTCTCATGGTGGGTAGAGTAAATAGTTCCGTGATTTGGGTGTTCATGGTAGGTCGCTCTATTCTTATGTGAATTGCCTCAAGAATTTGTAATCTTCTTGAATCTTGGGTTTTGTCTATTATGCAAGTATTCTTGTTCAACATTTCTCTTGTTAGAGTAATGTCATGGGCTTGTCTCATGTGATTCCTAGGGGCACCAGATTGAAGATGGCATGTCAAACGCCTCGTCAGCTTGGTCGACGTCATACCTATGTACTTACATTGAAGGTTACATCCTTCGTGGGGGCAAGTGTACATGTATACAACGCTTGACTGCTGTAGAGGGTTCTCCGTCGGCTTCGGGCTGTTTTTGATAAGGAGTTCGGAAGTCTTCTTGGTTTTGTAGAATATTATCAGGTTTATGTTTTGGTTAGGAGTAGTGCTTTTTACTCCTTTACGGATTATTTCTTTCATTATTCTTTCCTCTTTTATATGTTCACTATGCATGGTTGATTTGTAATATAATTTTATTGGGGGTGTTGTGGTTTCTGTTCTGGGTTCTGAATTATACCAACGGTCCAAGTGTCTTCTTATAGCAGCGTTTATTTCCGCGTTGCTATATCCGTTGTTCACCAATACCTGAGTTACTCTTTCAAACTCTCTACTCACGTTGCTCCATTCAGAGCAGTGGGTAAGCGCTCGACGAATATAAGCATTGAGAACACTGGCTTTGTATCTTTGGGGGCACTCACTTCTACCGTTCAGGCATAATCCTATGTTGGTGGGCTTGGTATATACGTTGGTGCTTAAAGAGGTTCCTGTTTTTGTTATTAGTACATCCAAGAATGGCAGACTGTTATTTTCACTATTTTCATGTGTAAATCGGAGTACTGACTCTCTCTCTAGGTGTCTTTTTAGGTCAATTAGTTCATCTGAGTCTTTTACTATTACGAATATGTCATCTACATAACGGCAGTATACAGTTGGTTTTTGTCTGCTACTGAAGACCCTATCTTCGATGGTTCCCATATAAAAATTAGCAAATAAAACTCCTAAGGGGGAGCCCATTGCTACTCCGTCTATTTGTAAATACATGTCTCCTTTTGGAAAGCACTACTCCTAACCAAAACATAAACCTGATAATATTCTACAAAACCAAGAAGACTTCCGAACTCCTTATCAAAAACAGCCCGAAGCCGACGGAGAACCCTCTACAGCAGTCAAGCGTTGTATACATGTACACTTGCCCCCACGAAGGATGTAACCTTCAATGTAAGTACATAGGTATGACGTCGACCAAGCTGACGAGGCGTTTGACATGCCATCTTCAATCTGGTGCCCCTAGGAATCACATGAGACAAGCCCATGACATTACTCTAACAAGAGAAATGTTGAACAAGAATACTTGCATAATAGACAAAACCCAAGATTCAAGAAGATTACAAATTCTTGAGGCAATTCACATAAGAATAGAGCGACCTACCATGAACACCCAAATCACGGAACTATTTACTCTACCCACCATGAGAGTAAGGACAAGACAAGAACATATCGATGCCAACACAGAAGACAATGTCCAACATAACAGGCCAATTACACTGGATTAATCTTTGTGTTTAGATAGGAGATGCCTCGTATGGGCCAATAAGCCTTCTGCAGCCCCTATGTTTATCCCTTATGTATCCCCCCCATGTTTTCACCTTCATTGTATTATCACCTGACCTAATGCGGGTATAAAATCAACTAGTATTGTAAGATCTGTTCACTTGAGAATGAACCATGGAGGTTCGAAACGTCGTGCAAATTATACAAATAAGTGTAATACACTCTATAGTAAATCACTTCTTTTCTTCACCTTAAAAGTACGAAAATGAGTTTTGGAGAACTCCTATTTCAATTAAGCCCTGATGCTAAGAAAATAGTTAGAGGGATAGAAGCCCTAAACCAGAAAATAATAAATACAGAATATGCGGTCATATTCAATGAAACATATATATATATATATATATATATATATATATATATATATATATATATATATATATATATATGTCGTACCTAGTAGCCAGAACTCACTTTTCAGCCTACTATACAAGGCCTGATTTGCCTAATAAGCCTAGTTTTCATGAATTAATTGTTTTTCGACTACCTAACCTACCTAACCTAACCTAACCTAACTTTTTCGGCTACCTAACCTAACCTAACCTATAAAGATAGGTTAGGTTAGGTTAGGTAGGGTTGGTTAGGTTCGGTCATATATCTACGTTAATTTTAACTCAAATAAAAAAAAATGACCTCATACATAATGAAATGGGTAGCTTTATCATTTCATAAGAAAAAAATTAGAGAAAATCTATTAATTCAGGAAAACTTGGCTTATTAGGCAAATCGGGCCTTGCATAGTAGGCTGAGAAGTGAGTTCTGGCTACTAGGTACGACATATATATATATATATATATATATATATATATATATATATATATATATATATATATATATATATATATATATATATATATATATATATATATATACAATCATTTACACAAATGCATATACACGTCGATAATCTTTTTGTATCACAAGTGATTCAACAAGAGGCTCACAACAGTCACTATACAAGGCACTTTACATCTATGGTGAGTCACACAGTTACTAGTCTTGCTCCACACCCACCCAACTGAGCGGCAGCTTTACAGTCATGTGCAAGCTGCACCTACAGTGAACAAATTTTAGATATATTAGGACGCGGTTGTTTTTATAATATTAAAAAAAAAAACATAATGAGTCAGAAACAAAGCCAAAAACAGTGACGGCGATGCGGGCGGGTCAGTGGCGACTCCTATGAAGAAAAAAATGGCAAAAGTCAAGTACAAAGTGTCTTAACGTAATATTGCATGATAAACTATTTTGTGACTGGATCGCTAAAAGTAAGAGAGCAGAATTTTGTAAATACTGTGAATGTGAAATACAAGGGAGTATTACACATATAGAAAGGAACTCTAGAACAGAAGAACATTAAAAATGGGAGTTTAGTACATCGTTCTTCTTCTTTGCGATACGTGCTGTTTGCACGAAGGTTTTTTCCTCCCGTTTAGTACAACAAACTCCAAAACTGACCAACTTTTATAAATATAATTCTTATTTGTACGTCAAATTTAATTTAAAAATACGCGATAATTCTTATCGGTACTGTGCTTCTTCAAAATAACGCTAGTTGTATTGTGCATGTTGGGCCAAGCCCGGGCTCCATTTCTTCCACCTCAGCAGCCTCTTGCAACAAGCCTGTCTTCCTCTGTACCCACTTCACCCTCTGGGTATCTCACCCTCTGGGTATCTTTGCTTTATGTGAAGTTAAGTCTGTCACTCGTAAGGGGTTGTACACGGAGATGTGTACCCAGCTTCTCGGTGTATATACACTGAGATGTGTACCCAGCTTCTCGGTGTATATACACTGAGATGTGTACCCAGCTTCTCGGTGTATATACACTGAGATGTGTACCCAGCTTCTCGGTGTATATACACTGAGATGTGTACCCAGCTTCTCGGTGTATATACACTGAGATGTGTACCCAACTTCTCGGTGTATATACACTGAGATGTGTACCCAACTTCTCGCTGTATATACACTGAGATGTGTACCCAGCTTCTCGCTGTATATACACTGAGATGTGTACCCAGCTTCTCGGTGTATATACACTGAGATGTGTACCCAACTTCTCGGTGTATATACACTAAGAGGTGTATCCAACATCTCGGTGTATATACACTGAGATGTGTACCCAACTTCTCGGTGTATATACACTAAGAGGTGTATCCAACATCTCGGTGTATATACACTGAGATATGTATCCAACATCTCGGTGTATATACACTGAGATGTGTACCCAGCTTCTCGGTGTATGTAAACTTTAGCTCTGAAGAGCTAAAAGTCAAGTATACTTGCTGGTTGGTCAGTAAAACCACTTGTGTGGACTTAATTACCCTCCACAAGTAGGATAAGTCTTCAGCCCCACACCAAATCAATCGAACATGTTTGTTTTTAAATAAAAAACTGTAATTCTCGTCGACAGAGACTTACGAAACAGCCCCGTATATCACTGAATTATTTTATCTCAGGTTGATGTGGGAATTAGTGTACAATATTAATATTCCGGAATCTAGATGTTGCAGTATTTTGGATGCAGGATAACTCACCGCAACACATCCTTTATGTGTGAGACACAAAGTAACACAAAACGTTTGGGTACAGCTCGGGTTAGAGATGCTTCATGCAGGAGAGATGCTTCATGCAAGGCGGCCAGATGGGTTATTCTCGTTTTTTCTGGATATTAAATTGCCTAACTTTGGCTTGCTGAATCAAAACTAAATTAACTTATCCAGACATAACTTGTCCAGAAATAAAGATATCCTAGCCAAACCAAAACTTTCCCTAACCTTACCTATGCAAAATTATCCTAACCCAATCCAGAGAATCCATAATTGCCCTAGCTTAATCTTTCGCATCCAGAATTAACCTAACCTAGCCTATCAAAAATTATCCTAAAAATTCTAGCCTATACATAATAAGCCTGACGTAGCCTATCCTAAGGTATAAACACCTAACCTAGCCTATTCTAAGGTATACACACCTAACCTAGCCTATCCAAAGTTAACCTTATTAAGCCTATCCAGAGTTACCGTAATCTAACCAATCTTATTACCTAATCCATATAACCTTACGCATTACTGTTCTTTAAAACTTAAAACTGAATAAAAATATTTTTAACAGCGTCTGTGTATTCCTTACAGTTTTCAACATTAACATAAAAGGGATTACGGGCTCACTATTGCTTGTGCTACATAGACATTTCGTTCTGAGTAGCTAAATCTAAAACAATAATGAAAGAAAATTTGACCGACTTGTCATGCAAAATGAAGGAATATGCACACGAAGAGGTGTACCCAGTTTCTCGGGGTATATATATATATATATATATATATATATATATATATATATATATATATATATATATATATATATATATATATATATATATATGCGAACAAGCCTGAATGGTCCCCAGGACTATATGCGAATGAAAACTCACACCCCAGAAGTGACTCGAACCCATACTCCCAGGAGCAACGCAACTGGTAACTACAGGGCGCCTTAATCCACTTGACCATCACGGCCGTCAAAAGGAAGTGATAGCCGAGGCTATTTGAGCCACTTCCCCGACGGCAACTCGGATGGTAATCTTGGGCATAGCATATCACCAAATCACCTCATTCTTTGGGGCACACGTGAGGAACACAAATGCGAACAAGCCTGAATGGTCCCCAGGACTATATGCTATATGCAGGACTGTAGTTACCAGTTGCGTTGCTCCTGGGAGTATGGGTTCGAGTCACTTCTGGGGTGTGAGTTTTCATATTCATATATATATATATATATATATATATATATATATATATATATATATATATATATATATATATATATATATATATATATATATATATATATATATATATACACTGAGTATACTTTAGTCCTGGAAAATATTCAAGACTAAATGATACTTGTTTTAGTTGGTCAGTATTTAATTTAGGTGACCCTTAATTTACAAATCAGAGGTTGATCAGCCTAAATAGCCCTAATCAGGTTGGGAGGGCTTAAACCCAACAACACAACCCGCAACATATCAGTTCTCTCCAACAGTACCTCACATTTTTGATGTACAAGTTCAAGTACGTTTATTGAGATAATATGATACATTTCAGAAGGACAGCGTAGCTTAGGCTATTTCCACCCTCTTGTATTTTGACTTATAAATCCCTTAAAGCCGAAAACTGATATACTAAAAATCATAGCGGCTAGAAAAATTGACGTAATGTCCCGTTTTCTATTCATGGGTCTTTGGTTAGGCTAGGTTCAGCCTATTGGACTATAGTCGGTACTGCAATGGTCTCATATCTTAGAGGATTGGCGTTTGAACCTCAATGATTCGGTGGGTTGGGCACCGTTCCTTCAAGCTGTCTTCATATCCTAGCTCCTTGTACACGTGTCCCAGCACCTTGTCCTTATATAACGGCTCCTTGTCTTTACTTCCTAGCTCCTTGTCCAATTATCCCAGCTGCTCGTCCCTCATATTTATGCCCCTTGTCTCAGCTCCTTGTCTGCAAATCCTAGCTCCTTGGCCTTATATCCCAACTCCTTGGCCTTATATCCCAGCTCCTTGTCTTCATATCCAAGCTCTTTGTCTTCATATCACAGCTCCTTGTCCTCATATCCCAGCACCTTGTCCTCATATCCCAGCTCCTCGTCCTTACATCCCAGCTCCTCGTTCTTACATCCCAGCTCCTCGTCCTCATATCCCAGCTCCTTGTCCTCATATCCTAAGTCATTGTCCTCATCTCTCAGCTCCTCATCCTCATATTTCAACTCCTCGTCCTCATATCCCAGCTCCTTGTCCTCATATTCCAACTCCTCGTCCTCATATTCCAGCTCCTTATCCTCATATCCCTTGCAAGTTTTATAGTCGCAAGATGAGGTTAACAGATAAGAATCTAGTTATAATAAAAACTAGATTCTAGAAAAAAGACTCTAGACAAGACAAAATAAATTTTCATAGAACAGATTTAGAAACAAGGATTTCGACATAGCATTATGAACCCTGAGATGTATATGTGGTAAATGAATATGAGAATAATTTAAGAAATAGGTTTTATTCACTCACACAACAGCGCATACTGATTTTCCGGGCGCCAGGAGAGGTAGAACTAGCGTCTGTTCTCACTGCAATTGAACAGTGACAAGACAATGCGAAAATGTTTAGGTAGAGTTTGAGGTTGTTAGGGCAGCTGTAGAGCTGTGAATTGGCTGGTGTAACGACTATCAGGCCAATTGTACAGTTGCGACGGGGCTGGGGGGGGGGAGTTACTGGGGGTAGATTTAGAGCCGGTTGGGTCTGTTGTAGAGCTGTGAGGGTGTCGGGGGAGGTGATGGGGAAGCTTGACGCTGCTCTGGGACGCTGTACAGCTGGTTGGGCGTCCCAGCGTCACTGCGGATGGAAGCATCTGCGTCCTCGGGGATCTTGCCGATCTCGGAGTTGAGAGCGAAGAACTGCTCGGAGGCGGCGCAGTCGACGTTGAACCACCAGTCACACACGAAGTACTGCTGGTTGAAGACGGTGCCGTTGGGACACAGGAAGGAGTCGAGGCGGCCGTCGAACTGGCAGATGTGGAAGACCTGGCAGCGGGCCTCGTCAGTGGTGTCGGCGAAGTAACCCGGGAACTCCTGAGCCTGGCAGGAGAAACCGGTTTGTGGCACAGAGGCCAGGATCGGGTAGTGTTGGCCAGGGACGCCGCCCCCGGGAATATTGGCGGCCAGGACGGCTACGGGGTCTTCTAGACCCTCCAGGGAAGGGGCCACATCCCTCAGGTCCGGGGCGCCGTAGGAATAACGAGGGGCAGGAGGAGCCGGCAAGAGTTTGTCAGCAAGAGACGTTCCCAACACAGCTGTAAGAGCAGAAGAAATTATAGATCTGCTCATTATCATCAATAGAGTCTGACTCTAATCTGTGAAGAACAGTACACATTACCAGTGTGATGTAACTATATATAAGGTTTATATATATTGATTGATTTGATTTGAACATTTAACATACATACATGACATTTAACAAACATACATGTCATTTAAGATACAGACATGGCATTTAACATACATGACATTTATGCATCACTTACACAATTCAAAGGCTTCCTACAGATTTTTAGAGATGAGACGTGTCTAGAATGCTGTGAACATTTCCTCTCTGAAAGTCAACGGTAAGGCGCTGCCATAGAAAAATGGTCTCTCTCATGTCTTTGTTTATACCAATGAGTTTATTTCAAAACTAATTCACAAACTCGTTTATATTTGCGCTATGAGCCAAGTGTCTCTGAGTCTATTGGAAAGATGCTGAGAGAGTGTGTAAAACCTCGGTGTTCTTGACCTCCCTGAGTGTAGCAGCCTCACCTCCTTCACGTCCACCGTACTGGAGAAAAGTATTAGGTGTAGTGGATGCATATAAGTGGTCTCACACCACCTACTTACTACCCTTCCAAGGCACCGTGGTGACCTCACCATTCTGGATTCTTCTGGCTGTCACTGGGTGTGTATAGTTGTGGACCCGTTGTCCCGGTCAGCCTGTGGCGATGACGCTCATAATAAAGTCCCGGAATTCCTCGTGTCTTGGATTCCTTCCCTCTAATAACGTTGAATGATACCTTGGAAGTCAAGCTGGTCTGTCAGTGTGAAGCTGCAGATAGAACTGTGTATGATGGAACCATTGCTAGCGAGGCAAAAACCCTATACCAATACACGATCCCCAGCACAAGGAGCTATTACTGCTAGAAGGATGGCTCTGTAGATCCCCAAAACATTATCATGCATTGTTAGATACTTTCCTTGTAAGAAACAATCACTAGTAGCCTGTAATATGCTATGGGTAAATATGTTCGTGGTGAAAGAGATTCAGTAGCATCACAAAGCCAACTTCTTCATTAAGCTTGAGATACAGACTCGCTCTTTAAACTCACTTGATTAGACACATTCCTGCAAGAAGTGCTGGACTAACCTGACTCTAGTGGATATGTGGGCCTGAGGGCCACTCCAAGCAACAGCCTGTTGAACTAAGTTATCACAAGTCAAGTCTGGCCCTCAGGCCGGGGTCGGGGAATATAAGAATTCCCAGAATCCACTCCAGGTATGATCAAGGTATGATCAAGGTATGATCAAGGTATGATCAAGGTATGATCAAGGTATGATCAAGGTATGATCAAGGTATGATCTAGGTATGATCCTCTAGCAACGTATTAGCAGCAATACTTTGATTAACCCCATTGAATATCTTGTAAGTGAAGAATGCATAGCTTCGTGAATTTTGACCTCAAAATCGTGTATAGTGAATAAATCCACGTTCTGTATTCATCGAACTTCACAATAATATGGACTTAAGGACTGAAATGGTGTGTAGCAGCGGGATTCAAACTTGGGTGTGTACGTGGGGCAGTCACTCTTGCGACCACTGCGCCAGTATGAGGTGGTACAGACACCTACCCAGAGCGAGGAGCAGCGTTGAGGTGGGCATGGTGGGAGAGGACACTCACGGCAGACACTAGCCAACAAAGGTCGTGGTTCGTACTGGCACACAGGAGGCCACCAACAGTTCTTTATAGCGCCAAACAGAACCTTTCCCCTCGTCAAGGTTGATCCAGTTTACCGACATCGAGCGGGAAGGTTTACCAGAAGGCTCATTGAGCGTTGGTTTACAGAGAGTGGAGATAGGGAAGGGTGGGGGAGAGGATACCTGCTGGTATGGGATGGATCAAAGTCCTGAGAAAATACTGTACTTGAAAATAATGTCATCGTTAATATTACGTCACCTAACCTAATTGACACATCCTCCAAAAATGAAGATGATACTTATAATTTCCCAAAAAGTGATGAGCAGTGAACACAAATTAATATATGTAGATTAGGCAAAAATAGAGAGATTAAGTACTTTTGTGCTTAAGAGTTAAGTGGCCTTTTATGTAAACGATATATTGAATGATAATTATATTGTAAACGATATAGTGCATCTATTGGCGTTCACCTGTCGAGACAAACGACGTGCCGACGTACACACTGCTCCCTCCATTGTCCTCGCGTACCAATCAACAACCCACAAGGTGTTTTTCAAGTTAAAAGTGGTTTATAGCCGTTTACATTTGCGATAATAGTTGATATATTTTATACGAATAATGGTATCAAGACCTAATATGACACACCAATATTCAGTATGTAATAGTATGGATATTACGATACTACGAGAGAGAGAGAGAGAGAGAGAGAGAGAGAGAGAGAGAGAGAGAGAGAGAGAGAGAGAGAGAGAGAGAGAGAGAGAGAGAGAGAGAGAGAGAGAGAGAGAGAGAGAGAGAGAGAGAGAGAGAGAGAGAGAGAGAGAGAGAGAGGAGAGAGGGGGGGAGGGAGGGAGAGAAGGATATAGACAGAGAGAGAGAGAGAGAGAGAGAGAGGGGGGAGAGAGAGGGGGGGAGAGAGAGGGGGAGAGAGAGGGGGAGAGAGAAGGATATAGACAGAGAGAGAGAGAGAGAGAGAGAGAGGGGGGGGGGGAGGGGGAGAGAGAAGGATATAGACAGACAGAGACTGGACACGCTCTGAGGGCCGGAGCCTGGTTCATCCCTGGGCATCTGGATCAACCTTGACTCCGCCAGGGAAAGGTCCAGTCTGGCACTATAAAATGATGCCAACATCTTCCCTCAGCACAGTGCCAAGAGCAGCTTCTCCAGTGGTTCATCTCCTCCACCTTCTTGTTCTTCACAATGGTCAAGTCTGCGCTGATGCTCGTCCTCAGTAAGTCTCAATTATGTCAAGAAATAATTATAATAATTAGTTAGTAACGAAAATCTTGAGATTATAATATGCAAATAATCTGACATTATAGAACTAACAAAGTAGCTGCCATTCGTTCACTGATAACAATACCTTCGTTAGTGTTAATGAGTTTAAATAATTAACATTAATCCTGGCTGCTTTTTGAGTCTTTATGACCATGTTGGGAGCCTGAAGGATCGTAGGTCAGGTCACCGTAGGACCTCCTCCTGGGTCCTACGGTGACCTGATATATTTCTCCTGCTCTTACAGCTGTGTTGGGAACGTCTCTTGCTGACAAACTCTTGCCGGCTCCTCCTGCCCCTCGTTATTCCTACAGCGCCCCGGACCTGAGGGATGTGGCCCCATCCCTGGAGGGTCTGGAAGACCCCGTAGCCGTCCTGGCCGCCAATATTCCCGGGGGCGGCGTCCCTGGCCAACACTACCCGATCCTGGCCTCTGTGCCACAAACCGGTTTCTCCTGCCAGTCTCAGGAGTTCCCGGGTTACTTCGCCGACACCACTGACGAGGCCCGCTGCCAGGTCTTCCACATCTGCCAGTTCGACGGCCGCCTCGACTCCTTCCTGTGTCCCAACGGCACCGTCTTCAACCAGCAGTACTTCGTGTGTGACTGGTGGTTCAACGTCGACTGCGCCGCCTCCGAGCAGTTCTTCGCTCTCAACTCCGAGATCGGCAAGATCCCCGAGGACGCAGATGCTTCCATCCGCAGTGACGCTGGGACGCCCAACCAGCTGTACAGCGTCCCAGAGCAGCGTCAAGCTTCCCCATCACCTCCCCCGACACCCTCACAGCTCTACAACAGACCTAACCGGCTCTAAATCTATCCCCAGAACTCCCATTACAGTTCTAAATGATAAAACAGGTTTTAACTCTATATGTTTTCCCTCTGCATCTTGTAACATGATATATTTTTGGAAGGTAGATATTATAAATATTTATTCACATTGGCTGCCAAGTCAAGCTCTTCGACCTTCAATTCAACAAAAAAATGTATTGCTTTCGCCTCTCTTTTTTTCTTATATGTTGAATATGTTCTCTGGAACACTGTTTGATCTCGACACTGTTCATCAACGTTTGTGTTTTGTATAAATAAAACTCGAATCAATGTTCGGATATCCCTCATCCAGCCTAGTGACCAATGTATGAATATCCCTTATCCACCTTTGTAACCACTGTAAGGATATCTCTCATCCACCTTAGTGACCAGTGTAAGGATATCCCTCATAAACCCTAAAAACTAATGTATGGATATCCCTCCTTCACTCTAGTGGCCAATGTATGGATATTCTTCATCCACCCAAGTGACTAATGTATGGATACTTCTCATCCACCCTAGTGACCAATGTATGGATATCTCTCATCCACCCAAGTGACTAATGTATGGATACTTCTCATCCACCCTAGTGACCAATGTATGGATATCTCTCATCCACCCAAGTGACTAATGTATGGATATTCTTCATCCACCCTAGTGACCAATGTATGGATATCTCTCATCCACCCAAGTGACTAATGTATGGATACTTCTCATCCACCCTAGTGGCCAATGTATGGATATCTCTCATCCACCCAAGTGACTAATGTATGGATATCTCTCATCCACCCTAGTGACCAATGTATGGATATCTCTCATAAACCCTAGTAACCAACCGATGGATATTTACCTAAATTTACCTAAGGTCACTTGAGTTTTCATAGGACAAGAAGTTTATATTTTCCTGTCCTACAAAAATATCTAGTTTTTGTAAGACAGGAAGCCTGCAGCTTGTCAAAAGTTCCTCCAATTGTCCTAAGGATTTTATCAGGCTGGATTTTTAAATTCAGCAGTTTTGACATTTACGGCATCGGCAGGTAGGCGGTTCTATGGGTTTATAACACTGTGGGTGAAAAAAATCTCTTGATTTCAATCCTATATTGTGGCTTGTTGAGCTTGAAACCGTTGCTCCTTGTCTGTGTTACATCTGATCTTTTTAAGAAGTTGTCTGGATCAACATCCTCGAATATGCTCAGTATTTTAAACGTTTCGATGAGATCCGCCTTGTCATGTCTGGTGTGCAGTGCTGTTAGTCCTGTGGCCCTCAACCTGTCCTGGAATGGGAATTGACTTAGCTCTG